TGCGAAAGAGGGACGGAGAGACCGCTTGAATTGGGACAATAGGGAGAGGTCTGACTGTCGTGTTACACAAGCATGGATAGATCTGGGTACTGATATGGCTCGTGTGGGAAGTTGGGATTGAGGCGAGAGTTAGGGAGAAGGAATGTGTCGTATGAAGAAATCCTATTGGGCTGGTGGCGTATGTACCACTATGTCTACAAAACTGGATACTTCGAGGCATACGAATGTTTAGAATGATGGAACTACTTTCTTCTTTATGCCACTTTTTCGAGGGTTGGATGTTGGAGGGAAAACTAGTCGAAGGCACAAGAAGAGCGTCTGGGGTGGGCATTGATATGTACCCAGAATTATACCAAGTAACCTTAAGAACGGAAACTCTTCATTTCTACGCTATTCAGAATCTTAAGAGTAGCTTACTTCTACCATACCAAGCAATATTCACCAGCAAATTGAATGATTGTAACACAGATTCTCACAATCAGCAAAGTTGAGCAGTAAGCAAGAAAATAAATGGCGACTTCTTTCTCATAAACCTTACATTCCATCTTCGTCAACCATGTCCAAACTCTCTTATATATGATTTCGTTGTCTATTGGAGCTTGTCGTTTATACAGCATTAGGAATGGAGATTGGGCGAGGAAGGTGGAGCAGATTGTTGCACGGATCTTGGAGGAGTCGACGGGGCACTGGATGGGATCTATGTGAGATATTGGGGGGTGGCGATGGTGAAGGGCCGTTTGGAGATTGATTTGGGCTCAGGAGGCTGTGATGGCTAAGATATGCGAGGGTGAAGGTGGAGGTGAAAATGATATTGATGCCCTTAGAGATATGCGAGAGGGGAGGTTATCATGGTGGATGGTGAGGACGAATTCTAGGGGTAAATTTGCAGCAAAAGAAGTACTTGGCGATGCTGATAGTGGTTGTTTCTTCGATCTATATTAAAGTTCCATTTGTGACTAGATTCTTGTCTGTGTGATCAAAAACTTGGAGCAATAGTCCTTATACATATCAAGGTTCCTTAACGTCAAGAAGATTGACGGAAAGAAGCGAATCTGCTTTGCCATCTTGTCCTTTCTTTCATAAAACGTTACGGAAGATTGGTTACTGCAATACCATAGTGCTAACATTCGAGATTGATCCGCTTGCCTGCTTGAGACGAATGTAGACAAATGGACACAAAGATGTGACGAATCTACCACTTGAAAATTGACGATCAATTGGTATGGATTTGTGGTTCTGATAGGTCGGGCTCTTGATTTAGAAGTTTTGTTGCATATCTCATTCTCACCTTCCAGGCAATTCTTGAACAGATTTCTAATCTTATCTCTTTTCAGAGCGTCCTCGAGGTTTCATATGTCGGGAAGGATCCCATGTTGATATCAATGGTCGGTGAATCGGAATCCCATATGTCATCCAAGAAATGTCCAAAAGGTGAAAACAAGACGTGCAACAAACCTTTTCCTATTCTCAAATCACGTGTATGAGAGAGATACGGAGTAGATCGAACCTCTGGAGTGGTCTCATCTAAGATGTATCGTAGTGCAATAGTAGAGTCTTGCTCGATAGGTTTGAACATGTAAAGCAAGACATAAAGAATGAAGACGAGTATGATTACGTCTATAGAAGTGCAACAGAAGTTTTCGGGTAAGGTTGAGCGTATAGATGAAGATCACTAGATGGTATCATAGCAAAAGGATATCCAAGATTTCCATCATGTCTCACTCCACCCGTGGCGTTCCTCTACTTTGGGGTATGCGAACGAAAACCCTTCCCAAAACGTTTACTAGCAGAGATGAGATGGAAATGTTTCAGACAACAATTGAAGTTGAAACAATACCAAATCCTGGGGGGTAGGCTCGGTTGGCCATTCCGGAAGATGTGATGCTACACGACCCATCTGGCATACATTAAACAGCCCTGGAGAACCACCTTCTCGCAGCTAGAAAATCAAAAGATCCAGTCTAGTAGTGTGGCGTGTAGATAGACGTTCCTAGTGGTCGAAACCTACCAATGAGATATATCGATCGGGAAGCCACAGCGTGGTGTTCAAGTACTGGCTGACGAGTTGTGAGGCTGATGGATACTTGGTCCATTCAAAAGCTCCAATTAAGTAGGCTATGCATAAGCGACGTTTCAACAACTTCTGTAAGGCACAAACCAAACACCAAACTGCACACTGTACATGTACAGTCAAGCAAGATCCATATCTGCGTTGTGAAGACATGTCCCAAGAATGTCTAACATTGTTGTTTGTTGCATGGAAAGATCATCTTTTGCACAACGCAATGATGATACGTGCCATTTGAAGTGAGGTTAGCAGGGAATTAACTTCGGGGCGGAATGGGCCTTCCCGTTTTGCTGTCAATCACGTGGAGCTATTGTGGCTAATTGGTCATAGCGCCAAGCGCCAAAAAAAACTCATGACCCCTCGTAACCCAGCCTCCTCAAAAATGGATATGACGGTTCACCAGGTTTCTACATATGCAAGAGGTGAATCATTGGGTCATAATGTTGGACTCGAGGTTCACTGCCACGTCTTTGCTCAGATAGTTCTGGAGAATAACTGTCTTACAGTCGTCCGTTAAATTGCTAACAGTTCCTTCCCTTAAATTAACATTTTTTAACAGGACTCGATTATATTCAATACTCACCAACAATGTATCATCACACTCCCGAATCACTATTACCTCGGACAGACTCGAAAAACCCCAATTCAACATGTCGAGGTCTATCATCAAATGGAAAACCATGTCGAAGAGGTCTGACCAAATCACCACGAAATTCACCGAGTCCGAGTCCTTCAAGGGGAGCGCTGAGTCCAGATGCATTTTGTTGGCAACATAAAGATCAAGCTGGACAAATTGCCCCACCGACTCAACCTCGACCAAACCCCCTGCGTGAGAGATCAAGCGTAGACACATTGGTCGAGAGATTGGGTCTCCTAGAGGTCGATCAAAAGAAAACGAAGGGAAAACAGCGCCAGACTTCGGAAGATAATCGTGGCAGACGACCTGGGACGAGCAATGCTTCGAGGAATGAGCAGCAACGCCTTGAAGCTCAACGACAGCAACAGGAACAAGAATGGCAGCAGGCACAAGCACATCAATTACAAGAACATCATGAAGTTCCACATTCTACAAATGATGGCCAGGGACGACGCAAAAGAAGCACCCTAGAATTATTATGTTGCGGCGCAGAAGACGAGGAAATTCCACCAAGACCCCAACAAAAACCACACGAAGGACGTTCTTCCTCTCATGTTCCAAGTTCTCGTATATCAGACCATCTTGATGTGCCATCTCATACAACACGTCCAGCCTCAAGACCTTCGTCGAGACCGCACACATCATCATCGAGACCCTCAACTTCCAAGCCACCTGAAATGCTTCAGCGTCCTACTATGGAACGTGATCCATCCTCGAGAACGGGGGAGTTTCTAGCTCATATTCCTTCATCAGCAAGCCCTCAGACAACAGCTGCATTATTAGCGGAACTAGCCAAACCAATCTCTGATGCTGATCTTCCTGGATTTATTTATATGTTCTGGTTGACCGATGAAGGGTTACCTACGGGACCTTCCGATGAAGCAGCTGGATCTCTTCTAACACCAACAACCAGAGCTGGACCTGGCCATCGACGAACTTCTGATGTTCTTGAATCCTTTACTTCTGCTCCACCGAACAAGAAGGAAAAAACAATGCTTCTCAAAATTGGAAGAGCCGAAAATGTCTTTGCTAGGATGCAACAGTGGAAGAAACAATGCGGTTATAATCTTTCATTGATTCGTTACTATCCTTATCATGATTCGTCCAAACCACCATCGAGAAAAGTTAGCGAAAATGACGGACCTCAAAAGGTGCCAAATGTGCACAAGGTCGAAAGACTGATTCATATCGAATTAATGGCTAGAAGAGTAAATTGCGGAAAATGCAAAGCATGCGGGAAAGAACATAGAGAGTGGTTTGAAATTGATGCCAATAGGGATGGAGTTACGATGGTAGATGAGGTTATTAAACGATGGGTAGACTGGGCTGAGAAGGACGAGGCGTCTAGACATTAGATATAGAGGTTAACATACCTGGGTAATGCGGTGTCATCATAATTAATCACGGTCTATTATATTCTTCACTGTAACTCTCGAATGCTCCTTCAATTTTGCAATACATGCGTCCACTCCATGTTCTTTTTTGTCCAGTCGGGTTATCTAAAGTTCCCATTGAAGATGGGCAGGCTGGGTGGAGTTGCTAGTGCCAATTGCTGCCTTGCTCGTATTACATACGTTAGTAAATTCAATACTTCTCGTTGCTTAGTATCAGCTTTACAATTCATTTTCTGGTTACAAATTTGGAGTCTGACAATTGTGTGGTAGGAAATCTTCCCCTATGTCAAACTTCGCCTAATTTAATGCCAGTGTGTCTTTGTTCCAGAGCATAATCCAGACGCTCGTTTTGAGAGTATCTTATTTCTAAGAAACTACTAGATTGTAAAAGATTTCTATACGAAACATTTCTGAATGGTCATTCGTCGCAAACACTCTTGGTGGTTGGATCAAATGTGAATCAGTGAGTTTTTGGAGATGGTCATCTTCTGTTTGCTATCCATTCGATTCGTTCTGCGCATTTGAAAGTGCTGATTCGATAAAGAACTTTTATTAGGTCTATGTGTTCATGCAAAAATCAGACTTGGAGATTCACAATCATTGTTTGTTGTAACCCAAAGGATTGTGAAATGGTCCATCCTGAGAAGTTCGTATGATTCTTTCGGACTTTGAACATTTTTCAATCATTCAGTAATTATACCTCCATTCACGATCATTTTATTCCATTTGCAACTTTTTCCATCAAATGCATTCTGGACTACCAGCGAGATATAAAAGAACACCGTTTCTCTTCCATCATCCTATCAATAGATCCACACATTACAAACATTACAGAACTCCATTTCAATCAAATTTCGGATTAAGATCAAGACCGTTCACGAACATCATATCTCTAAAAAAAATGCCCTACTACTACCCCTACCCCTACCCCATCCCGCACTACTTTCCCATCGTACCCGTCTACCCAACCACAACAGTAACCTCAGTTTCCGCCCCCATAATCCATCAAACACCAGGCTTCAATCCACTTCATGGACAAGATCCCGGTCCTACACCTCCTGGCATAGGTAATCGCGTCGCGGGTTATGTTACTGGTATGTATTGTACATCGGTGAGTAGACCCTGCGAGATGCGCGAATAAACTAATTTGCTGGGGACTAGGTTTGGCGACAATAGGTCCTCCGATAGTGAGAGTTGCACCAATAGTAGCAGTACCTCAACCGCATACTTCGAATGCGTGTGCAAATTGTCGGAATCAAGATGCAAATCCTACTGCAGCGAATGCAACTGCCAGTCCTCCAACTCCAATTCCAGAACCAAAACCTCCCGCCACCAAACCAAAATCCATTCTCAAACCAACACCAACACCAACTCCTGCTCCCGACCCAGCATCTTCATCTTCTTCGCCTCCTTCATCTCCCACAAAGTCTAAGTCTAAATCTAAACTCGAACCTCCGCTTAGTATCCTCACCCATGCAAATACAAATAAGAATGCAAACCCCACTCCGAAGCCGGGATGCTGACAATCATTGAAGAAGGATTGTCCTCCTCTTGGGAAGAGATCCAGTGAGAGTTTATTAGGGCCGTTGGGGAAGAGGGTTAAATTTTGGGACGACAGTGGGTGATAGTGAGATGGAGATATTGCATTTCTTATCTTTTATATTAGAAAACGAGTTGTTGACCGTTCGAGAGTATACTAGTCATAGAGGAGTACAGTGAGTGCTTGGTATTTGTATTAAGCTTTTTGCATAGAAGGGATAGCTTAATGCCATATATATATCCAATAATTCCTCCATGACTTTTTCTAACGATACTTGCCATTTCCCCTTGCCTATCTCCTCGTTGGCCACTGTTTAGAAAACTCAACTGTAAATCTCCATACCGTGCTGAAATACGTGAAACCAAACACATTATGCAATCCAATAAAGCTACTTTGTATTGTTCCCATATCTCAAATTAATTGAAATTTGGATATACAGTAGAGCAACGAAAAATTGTAGGTCCGCGAGGAAAAAATGCGACGAAAGCGCAGCAATTATACAGAATTCGGCAATCTCTGCCATGGCAAAGACGTACCTGAAGACATAGGCTGAATTAAAGCCACAGTTTCATACCTGTATTCTAGAATAGATAGATATTTGAAATGATAACGTTGGTAGCACGTGGCTTACAATGTCAACCTCTGTGAGTCTGTAACTGAACCTCCAATGATTTTACATTGGGGCCGACTAGTCGGCATTATGTAATATTATCTCAATCTCCATCCCCTTTGTTGTACGAAAACAGGATCATCTAACAACGTAACACCCACAAATTTACTAATAAAATTCATCTTTGAATCCAACCTCCTTCAACTGCTTTCAATAATGGACTTTCCACAGCTCCTACTATCATCCTCACAATATTTGCACTCAATTCCTTCTTATACACGTCTCCCTGTAACATCCCCACCCCAACGCAAACAACATTCAGACCCATCCTACCCTCTCTATTCTTAGCATCCGCCACCACCTTTCTAGTCTCATCATTTATGACTCCACTCGGCGCCTCTTCATCAATGACCTCCTTGTCAGTCAAAAATCTCAACATAGCGCTCATAGTAGTCCCAGAACTAATCACGTCATCAATCAACGCTATTCTCTTCCCTTTAACCAACGACAAAAGATTAGGATCGAGATAGACTGGTGGTCCTTGGCCTGGTTTGTCGAAGAGACATGATATCTTGGTGGTGAGTTGGTCTCCATACCAGGGTTTCTTGGAGTAACCCCATGGGATGTGACGATCTTATGGAAAGCACTAGTCAGCATCTTGTTCTTCTTCGGTTCCACAATAAGAATCTATTTCCCTCTCTAATTTACCGGAGACTCGGAAACAGAGCTAAACTAAGCATTCTCGCGATTCTTCACGTAAATGTAATGGAATAAAGGGCGGGTAAGCGAAATACAGCATGGATGAGATTATCAACCTACCGAATCCTAATTCTTCCGCCACAAAAGGCGCCAAAACAAATCCACCAGTCGGCAATCCCATCACAACTTCCGGGTTGAACTTCTTTATCTTACTCGCCACAATCCTGGCCAGTTCCCTCACAACCGTCATCGAAGCATGCGGTAATGCCAATGAGCAAACAGCAATGCCATTAGTGGCATCTCCTAGTGGTCTAATGGGAAGAAGCAAGCTTATATCTGGAGTGAGAGGTGCAGCGAAGGAGTATTGATAGGGAGGAGCTGTTGAATATGGGAGGGAAGCAACGGAGGATGTGGGAATTATCTCTTGCCAGTAGGTAGTCGTGGGGCAGGTGAAATGGGTATGGGTTACAGGACCGATTGTCTCGCAGGGGTAGTAGGGTATGTGATGGCTAGTTGGTTCCATGGATTGGTTGTTAGTTGTGGTTAATGGTGCCGAGGCTGTGTTTTTGGAACTTTGTGTATCCTGTCCGTCTGGCCTTGGAGCCTCAACGAAAGCGGCGTCGGTAGAAAGCAGTGATTGAACGGACATTGTCAAATAAGTCTGTAAAGTGTTCTGCGCTCTGGGAGCTTTTGATTTAGGATGGGTTGTATCAGTGGGATGTTTGTCATATAAATACAGACGAAGTAGGCTTTCAAATAGATGGTCTACTGGTTGAACAAACATTGTTAACACGCGTGCGGAGATTGCCTTCCGCAACGTGTAACACAAACTTAGTGAATTAGCCACGCAGGCCGTGATCATACTAGAGCGACATAATGACGTACAGCGCATAAAGCGTCGTAAATTCGTGAACTACATGTTTGTTGCAACCCGCAGTATAAGCCAGCAGACGTTTCTCACCATCCTGCCACAATGAGTCATTAAGGCTCTTCATGTCTGTTTCATCGAAACTGATTACTCAATCTAAGGCTTGAATAAAAGCAGACATTTATGGGCCATGTGAAATTTATTGAAAACATTGATGTCAGAAAGAAGAATGGGATGAGTTGGAGATTGTGGTAGAAGAAATGAAAATTTATTTAGCACTTGGCACTTTGCAGCGAACACGTTAACTTTGTAGTGAGAGGATCAGAGACTATTGCTGAAACTGGCTCGAAAGTTTGTTATTACCAATATGTGTGTATAATTGAACGCACTTGTCCTCCAACGTCATCATCAATTTATGGTATATCAAATCAAGATTCGGAACGAGCAGCGCTCGTGCTCAGAAGCCTTGAACTGGCCTTATCTAGGAGCAAGACCGCTGCTCTGATCCTCCACTTCGACGTCCAAACATCTATTCGGAACCACGCGTTCAATATCCGTTCTATTATTAGACGTCTGTTCATGGCTATCATCTGGAGTAGCATCTTTCAACTCTCCCGTATTGCGACCAAGTGATGAGACCTCTGAGCTCCATTCATATCCTTCAATGACCAGTTCCCGTTCTAATTGCCAGTCCATTTCTTCGTTACTTCCAACATTATGTGAATCGGGCTGTTTGTCCCCACCGTTACACTCGTTTTCTGGCAACCATTCCTCTATCCTATCTATATGCGACTTCAAAGATGTCAGAAGGTACTCTTTGAGGTGTTTGGATTTTGCAAGGAAATGGTGATTGGGTCGATTGAATGCGGAATGTTGGTTGCATCGACGGAGTGAGAGATTGTTCCGGTACTCTGGTTTTTGATACCAATAGCGACTATCCTGGATACGGTGATGACCAAAGTGAGGATCATTGTGAGTTCGAGCTGATGCGTATTGTACATGCGAGCCTCTTCGGTTGCCACGACTATAATTTGCTTCGTCATAATGCCATTCGGTACGTCTGTTTCTATCATCACCGCGCATGTTTACATCCTGGTGGCTTTCTGATCGAATCAATATGTGTGAAATGAGATGAGAAATGGGCTAAATCGAATATTAAGAGAAATTTGTATCTTTGATGGATATCCGACGAAAGTTCTGGTAAGACCACTAGACTCTTTACTCATTAACATTTTCATTTGTTTCGAATGAGCATTGTTCTGTGGCAAACTTGCCTGAATCAATTGTGTCAATGGTGATCATCGAACTTGAAAGTTGTTTCAGGAATTTCCGAAGAAACCGACAGAAAAGTCTATACTTTTGGGGCCGGAGTATCCAATAATCGCACACTGCTACCCAATAGCGAGAAGATTGCAATCTTCTGTTAAATTCATTTGACAAGAACAGTCGATCCTAAAAGGGTTATGGCCTTCTAGACATTGAAAACTTGTATCAGGTCCGAAAGTCTGAATATTCGAATCTGACTGCAACACGCTCTCGACGTATCGACACTAATCAGTTCCCAAATCTTCTCCAGTAGCCTCCCGCATGGATTCTGAGACCGATCGGCGAAAAGCTCGCAGGTGTGTACAAAATTGTGTAGTAAGACTTCAAGATTAGGGCAATGCTTGTCAATATGAAATAGTTCTCGATTTCATATCATAGATTCATGCCAGTTCCAATCTTTCACCAATTGTTTGACACGATAATCAGTCGCCCAGCCAAGATCGATTTCGATGTCCTTCAGCAAATCAAGTATTACTTTTCGCTCTTTCGTTTCTGTTAAGCACTGACCTGCAATAAACAGAGGCTGCACTTGGTGAATCCTCACAGAACCTTCCGGCCTTCCCAGAGCGATGCCGCAGATTTCGTGACTATGGTGGCGAACTTCCATCTCAATAGACCGGTATGAATGGAGCCTATTTGAAACGGTTGTCCTTTTTGTAGTGGATTCGTGGGGCTTATTGGTAAGTAGGAGGATCCTCGTAAAATGGTATGACTGCATTGTTGAGCCACACATTGGAATACTATACCATATCTCTGGAAATACAGTTCTCGGTGAATCTTGTGGTAAACTGCCATCTGTAATCGTTGATAAACGAGCACATGGTTTAAAGGTATCTGGTAGACCTCGATACCAAACTTCCAGCTCGTTTGCCAGCTCGTGCCATCGTTCGAGTAAAGTCATTTGATTGATACCAAAAACAGCGGTAGGACTACCTTTATCCTGAGGATAGACATTATCGATGGAATCACCGGTAGCAATAAAATTAACAATTTTCGACATGAGCCAAATCAAGGCATTTGAAATCATATCTTCACGCATAGACATCTGCAACTCTGGATATGAACTTTCCTTGTTGCTTGGGATAACAAATCCTTGATCATCTATCAGGAGTCCAGCTGCACGCCAAAGATCCCAATCTTCTGTGTTGAGTCGGGTTTGTCCTTCATTAATGACTAGTTCAAAGTTAGTGTTGTCAAAGGTGTGAGGTTTCAAATACTAACAAGCTGCCAGAAAGTCCTGGCGGGCGAAGTTCCAAAATGTAGCTCTCCTCGCAACTGAAGGCTTGGTTCTAAATGATAATGATCCTGGAGTACTAGGTGAAGGCGAATGAAGAGGCATCATGCCTTCCCTTTCCGCTAGGTCGAACAAGGATTTAGTCCCACTTAGATGTCGAGACCAAGCATGCAGAGCATTGTCGAGAAATTCGTAAACGCAGAGTATAGCGGCGGCTGCGATTGTCTCATCGGCGTCACGTTGTATCGGCTTCGATAGTCGCCGTCGCTTGTTTGATTGGGAAGGAGTACTCTGTGGTGATTCAATATTTATTGGGGAATGAAAATGACCATCGATCGTGGGTGTAATAGGAAAATCTTTTCCGCCCGACTTGGAGAGCTCCTCTACTAAGAGTGAAATTGCTCTGTCGTAATATTTTGCACTAATGTAAATCCAGTCGACCTTATCCGAATTTGGATAGAGCTCCATAAGTGCTTGCTCACTGACTATGCCACCGACAATGGCCTTTCTTCCCCCAACACGCGAAAGCTGTTTAGCAGCATATGCGCATGCTGAGTATTTGAGCAAAGGATTCGATACGGCAAGAATGGGGACATGGTGTGCAAAGTAGCACCCGAGGTCGAATAAATCCATCCTAACATGATCAATTATGCTTCCGATATTGATGTAATCTCAACTCACCATTGTCCGGTAGTTTCTCTCCAAATGTCTCAATAGAAACGCAACTTCATGCTCTCTCACACTATCAGCATCACTGATGAAAGTGTTCGTCCTCGAGACTGATCTCAATGAAGGATCAATAAGGGGTGAGTCTATAACAGTAATGTTAGCCGAGGATTTAGTGAATAAGAGAATCGCTATTTCCATACTCTGATGGGCTTCCGGTCTTGTAGGGTTCAGTATAAAGTCGAGGTTATTGGCGGAGTGCTGGGGAGTGTTGAGACTTCTTGGTGATTGTGTGTGCACCGATAATTGAGGCATATATTCCATATTCGTAGTCGCCGCCGTGGAAAGAGCTTCCAACCCAGGTGCGTCCTCAAACTGGGGGTAAGTAGAAACGTCATTGACACTCTCGTCTATAGTGGTTGCGGTGGGAATGGTAGATTCTGGGGATTGTTCAGGCTCAGGAGTCGCTTCCATGTTGTATGGATCGATGACATGAAAGAAGGTTACTGTCAATTGCCAAGTCAGATTCAAATCCTTCATCTCGCGATTGGCCTTCACTCCAGTAGATTATAACGCACTGTTCTTTGGCACATCGACCCAAACACTGTTCTCATCAAATGTATTCCTATACGCAAAAAATGCACCTAATCGGCCACTTTTGTCACCAGGAATAGCATCTTCACCGCCGTTCATGGAAGCATTTTGTTGGTGTCTGAATACTACTCCATCGCTAAGTACACATTGTCTTGAAGCTTTGCGACATTGTCCACATTCTGGCTTGATTTCGTCGCACTTGAGCTTTCGTTGGCGGCATGTTTGACTGGCAGCACGAAGGCGCAGATTAGCAAATTGGCCATTGAAATGAATTCAATCGTAAGCAATGAGAGAAGATAATTACCATCCTGTACGCGACCGCATTGCTGCGGAAACAGCATTATTTCCACCCGCGATTCGGGGTAGATGATGCGATTATGATCAGGTAACAAATCCTCATATTGTATGACAGTTTGAATGTTTTTGTTTGTGCACCTAGTGATACGAAGCATTTTACTTCACGATATTCCCCGCAGTAGTGCCAGACAAGGTTGATCTAGACTTTTCGGGGTGTCGGAAGGCCTGAAGCGGAGGTCCGAACAGCGGGGGGCAGGGGGGGATTTGATATTCACGTGGTATCTAACTCAACATTTCAATCACAACCTCATAGGTTCTATTGATCGAGCAGTGGATATTAACCTCTCAACACAACAAAGTATACAGATAGATATCGATGAGGACCTCTGATTCTCGACCGTGTTGACATGAGAGATGAGCTTGTGATGGCTAGTCCAAACCGTTAAGACTATGGCAATATTCTTGGGTTACTACAGATAGCTGTAGGTAGGAAAAGTCATTCTAGCCGTGCAAAAGAGAACACAGGTTTCATCATTATAATGTCGAATGTCGCTCGAATCAGTACTCGAGTCTCATCTAGATACATTGAATAGTGCAAAATGATCAGGTTGTCAAACTTCACATGCGATTATTGAGTGAATACTAGACCCCGAAGTTTGGGCCGTGCTATTAGGTCTCCAATTCATTCATACCTATATAATTTGACTCCCTTTCTAATTTTGAACTTCGTTTCATATCATTTGCAATACAGCTCAATAAAACCACGATGTCTATCCAAACTCAAACTATTATCACCTCAACCAACAAAGCAGCAAGGCATTTAGTTGCTGCTAGAGCAGGCAAAACTATGGATATGTCTATGGCTCTTAAGGAGAGTCCCCCATCTCTTTTAGATCTCTCTCAGCATTGGCCAATGATGGAAAGCATTTGTTCAGGAATGAACTTTCATGATATTGTCAGCCTATCCAGAACTTCGAAACGGTTTTCAAGCTTGCCAGAAACGATGTCGAAGACTCAATTAAACATCGACTCTATTCTCCAACACTTCGTTAAAGACCCCGAAGCGCTCAGATTGAAAATGGCACAAACTAATAAGGTTATAGTTGATAACACTGTTCTTCATCTCTCAAGAGGTCTATAAGATTGAAAGATGGAATGTGTGTTATTGTGGGGGAAGAGGATGATGAAAAGGCTTTCAAGAAATTTATTTGTGAAGAGGAAGGTTACAAGTACCTTGAAGTTGAAGACTCATCAACCCAAATACCGGACACAAGTTTGACTTGGGAGTGGCCTGCAGTGGTTAGAGATGATCGAGATCCTCCAGCCTCAAAAATGTATGAACGTAGTTTTATATATAGAGTAAGGAGCCCATCAGTTTATGGATATTTGCCATCATGTACTAACAGAATTCCGCTATAGACCCGGTATTGTATCAGACGCGATGATTAATCTTCATCTAGCCACACGCTCATCGTGTTACTCACGCAGCGATACCACCTATTTTAGCAGCTCTACTGTGCTTTCCGGATGCCTCGTCGGCAAACTATATTACATGTCACAAAGCATACTCAATGTTTCCTAACTCAGTGCTTAGGCACAAAGCATTATGGTTGTATGGACCTCATCCTGGTCATGATCAGATGATGCCTAAATATGTTAAAAATGGATGGAAGCTGATAACGCCTTCACCTCTAGAATACAGCCGAACCTCCTCAGAAACAAATACGGCGAATGAAAAGCGACACTACCAACATTTCATACCAGATACCTTCCGATGGATTGGCGACAAGCACACTTGGACGATAGAGCATCCAGAACTACCACTTAGTCTTCCCCTGGACACAACTAGAACCCCAAAAATCCCAGATATAGCTACAGAACTAACCTTTGTTACCATCACTACAAACTTCCGACAATCCTATTATGATTTCAATGGCCCTGCATTTTATCGTAGTGAGAGTGCATTTTACTACACAACAAGTCTGAAACATTGCTATGGAAACACACATCGAAACGACTTCGCCATGGAAAAGTCAAATTTCTGGTCACACGTCAACAATCAGCTGTTCTCATACTCACAGAAGCAAGCGCTCGACAAGCTTTCTCTTGATCAGTCTATTACTTCACCAAAGAACAAATGATACTTGAGTACATTTCTTGATGGAGATCACGCATGTGGAATTGCACGTCTCCCCGAATCTTAGGAGTTCTTATATTTGAATGGTCAGATAGAAACATCGTTTGAACAATGGAAGAAGATTGTGGGCTTGACCCGATATGATGGGGAAGTCAAGAAAGTACAGAGAGTATCGGGAGAAAGCAAGAATCCTAATTCATCACATCACTGTGCCTTGAGCTTTGGAAAATATAAATAGTTGATTTGTAGCAGAGGTCCTGGTTACCAGGGATTCGAATAATGATTAGAAAGTACCAATATAGTAAACTATCAGCGTCTTAATGTTGCTGTCCAGAAATCTTTCGGTTCGTTAGTCGAAATGAATTTAGACCTATCCAATTAGAGTCGTACCTATTGACTGCTCGATACGTTGCCAGTAATTTGTCTTTGTCGCTCCACCCCAGAGATATCATCACAAAGTTGAACATGCCAAATAAATACTCTCAAATAGCGGACAATGAAACCTGAATCATTAATATCCCGTCCGGTCCATACGAATCAAAAACCATCTACTGCCATGTGATCAATCCTACTCGCAACCTACCCCATTTCAAAATGCAACGGTATATACCTACCACAAGGTATCTGCAAAATTACAGCAAAGAGACGACCACTTGAATTAATGCCAAACGTGTCAACCAAGATGATAATGTCGGGCAATCACGTCAAGTACGAAAGACCTAAACTTTACATTTATGAACATGCACTCCATATCGAAGTGTATCAAAGCGAAATGGACCAGCACAGCAATGTCTGTTTTAACAAATCGATCGGGCCTGCAATGATGATTGTTACATTCCGTCATGAAATGGTTGCAGCAAGGACAACCTCACAAGTAGCCTGCCCTCCCTGGAGAGAAAAACAGTGATCACATTCCTGGAGCTTCTCTGCTTTAGCCGTATCCAGATTCTCAGGCCATGAAACCGCCCCCCTCCATCACGGCCAAGTGTAATTCCGAACCTTTTGATCCAATTTGGATCAGAAATGGCCTCGACCCCAAGATTGCCTTCGGTCTGCAATGTTTCCCGCTTTTCTCCCCATCAGGCTCTGAATTAGCAGAACTTACAAGCATAGCACATCGGACCACTTCATCACCGCCGCTGGCCGGGGTGCTACTTAACTCAACGGCTAGTCTCATTTACAAAGAACTAATTGTCATTCTCAACAGTTACCATCTCACTTATCTCAAACATATCAACAACATCGAATAGATGAATCAAACTGGATATCATATCGTATATCTAAACATACACGCCAACCACCCTATTCTACCATGAACAACATCGCATCATCACACAAGAGCCCCCATACCATACATAAAACATTGGATATACATTCAACAATTCGCACCCCCTTCGATTCCCAACTCGGTCCCCTTTGCTTTCCTCAACTCAAACAACATAAAAACCAAAACATCAATCAATTCTCATCCATTCACCAAACCCCAAACACCAACATCAAACCATATGACTTATTTTCCGTTCCTTGCCGTTCCTTCCCTTAGTCCTTTAATTGCCATTTCCCATTCCATAAAACTCACTTGCATATTCGCCCATACAGCCAGCTCATCATATAACATATACACTACGTATCTCAATTCCAAGCTTCTGCCCCATTCCCTCGAGATCGACAGAGCCAGTCAAGCTAAGCAAATTATGAAATGCGCCTTTGCCTCTACTCTTGTAGATGCTCTCATATCTGCGAACAGATCCACACAAAATTGATTGCCAATACGGTTCCACTTCTCGACACGATAATCCTGCAACCAAGATGACATAGCAAATACCGTAAGCTCCGTTTATGACATTAGGCCGTGGCGAAGTGTATGTGAAATCGATTGCGATACTGAATCCGATAATCGGACAAAGAAATCGTTTGCATTCCGCTCCCTTGCCGGATATTCCGCTCCCAAGATGTGACATTTTCTCAAACAACGACTCACTTCACTCATCTATACCCATGATGCGATAAATCAACACCGTTCACGCCTACTCCCATATCCTCTCCGCCAGTACTAGCTCGCGGGAAGTGACCATGATTGAACTCTGGTATACTCCTGGGTAGTGGCATACCATAACTACTTCCACTTCCTTGTCGTATCGGAGGTCTTCTTCCACCAATTCCATTTCCATTCACACTGGCAACTCCACTACTCATTTCGCTCATACCGCCAGGACTCGAAACCCCGAAAGAACTCTCTCCATTTTCGACACCAAACTCTCTCTTGAAATCCATTCCGTGAGCATGATTATTCAGATCATGGAATCCTGGATAATCCAAAGCTTGATATTCCATTCCGGGATTCATCATAGGCGGTGATGTGAATGGAGTGGTTTCGGCAGACATACTACCCGTGACACTTGGACTGCTCAATTCCTCAATTCTCTTGTCAAATGCCAATGCTCCATTCGAATGTGCCATCTTGTAATCGTTGGGGCCACTAGTAGCCATAGTATTGTAGTTCTGAGGAGGAATGCTAATACCAGTGTTGCCAAATCCATCAAAAAGGTCAACATCCGCGCACATTTGAGGGGTTTCGGGAGCATTCTGTAACATGGGATTTACGAGACCAGGAAGGACATCGTGAACTTTGTTCAGAAGGAGAGGAAGAAAACGATGATCGCCGTTGCGGAGAATGGAAAGCATTGTCATGAATTGATGAAGGTAGTCGCGTGGACCCATTGTAAAGGGATCAGACTTCGCAGGGAGAAGGGAGAGAACGTCGGTTAACGAACAGGCGACGTCGAACAGTTTCTCAATCTATAGAATTTTACTGTCAGCAAGTTGGGTATTCAGACAATCAAAGGAAGAATACTCACCAATCCAACACCGTGAACCTCCATGCTCTGATGACTGAATTGACTTGTCATCTGTGCCAAATCTCTGGCAATATCGACTGGATACTGGAATGTCATACTTGGATCATCACAGTTGCTACTGAGACATCCATTTTGTATACTCAATTGCCATACCATTGTTCTTAGCCATTGTTGACTTGTTCTGAGATCTGCTGTTTGGTTTTCTGTCGTGTTGAGATAGACTGGGAGGGCTTCGGAGAGTTGTTTTTGGAGAGACGAAAGATAGGCCGGAGAACAATCGGTTCTGGTCTTGTTCCAGAGTGCGACGAATTGATCATCGAATGGACGGTAGACATTTACGAGATGGATGAATCCATGTAAATGATGATTCTGGGGATCAGTGGGGTCATCGTTGATCGAAGGAAGGTTGATCGTGGCTTGCAGAGACAGAGGTCGATGGCGTTGAAGTGCATATGATCTATGACTTTGTTAGCAGTTGATACTGAATTGCCTTAGCACGAATCTCACCTTTCCGTGACAAACAACAACCAATATAATCTTCGTCTTCGCGACGATTCGATGATATCAAATTGATGATATGTCTCCTCTTTAACCATTTCCAAGGTGTGTGCCAATGTTGTAGCTTCTCGTAAATGGAACCAAGCCTTATTGTGTAGATCCAATCCGTAGTAGCATGCAAAGATGAAAAAGCTAGTCACCAAGCTGTTTTGTGTAGGTGATTCGCAGTAGTCGTAACTTTTCCTAACCTTCAAGGTCTCTTCCAGTAATAAGGTTCCAGAGACAATATTCGCGCCCGGGAGATTGTCTAATCCAAGAGGGTCACCAGGTATTCCCATTCCAGGTTGTATCATCATGAATGCACACATCGCGGTTAAGAGACAGTATGTATCGACATTCTGATCAACGTATAGTGCTTGTTGCTCCAATCTCTCCCTGTGCAATATCGGCATCGTTGGATACATGTTCGCGAAGAAGAATTCCGTACATTCCTTCACCATTTCCGTAGTAAGAAGACCTGGGGTTGGTGCGAGTGTAGGACTGCATGGTGGACTTTGAACACCATTCATGCGGTTTGCAGTTTTGGCTGAAAGGGATGATTGTTGATTTTGTCTTAATTCGCTGATGACTTTGGCTCTTGAACCCTTTGGTCCTTTCTTTTGTGGTATAGCATGGTAAGTGCAAGATAATTGTGCTGACGAGCAATTGCGACATGGGTTGATACCGTCACATTTGACCTTTCGACGATGGCATGCGTCGCACGCTCTTTTCACCGAGGACGAAGACGACATGATGGGCGGTGGAGGAAATTAAGGCAGGTTGAGATTTAAATTTGTTTATCGATATGACGATCAATTCAATTGATAAGTCTAATCGAATCGGCTGAGGGTTGGGTCGAGTCCAGTCCAGTCCAGTCAAACGATAGAAAAGCGAATAAGGCTGCAGAATTGACGATCAACTGGAACCTGTGCACCAAAGCCTCGGAATGTTCGCTTTTGGGTCGATATTACCTAGCACTGCCTAGCACTTGAACATAAAGCCAGCCTTATTGTACTATCTGTACAAATAATTTTGGGATACTCGTGTGATTGATCTCGACGTCGTGCAAAATAAAATGAATCTGTGTTTTAATTGTTGTCTTGTGTCGTCTGGGGTATGTGGAGTTTATTGCCAAAGTGTATTTGGTGTCGGTGCTGTCCTGGATAGCTTGGTAGGCTGGTAGGATAGAAAAGACGATGGAATCAAAAGATTGGATTTCTGGAGTGCTTTATTCGGTCCGTATAATCCTGTATGGCGGAGACGGGATGCTCATTTCATGGAGATGCGGGGGGTTGAAGGATCGTGAGGTCGTTATAATTGGATGGAAATTATGTGAGGCTGGTGGCTTGAATTATTTGATTTTGGATTTAATTCACTCTTTTGTTTTGTTTTTTTGATTATGATGGTAAATGTTGAATGTTGAATGTTGACAACGGGTGGAAGAGTGAAGAGTGAAGAGTGAAGAGGGAGTAGTGGAAAAGGTGACAATGGTAGGGAGAAAAAAGGAACCAATCTTTTCCAAGGCTTAATATAGAATCGAAGATTGTTTGGAGAGAAGTGGAAGGGGAGAAGAAAAACAATGGTGAAGCTTAGGCGTGTTTGTTGATAT